GCGAGAATAATGATGAAAATAATAACAGACGAGCTTCAACTATACAACAACTGGCAAGTCAGAATCAGGAGTCAGGACAACAATTAAGACAACAGGCAGTAAGCACAGAAGGTGAATCAAACCCAACCCAAGGTAACTATCCACCCACCCCGATAATTAATAATTTGTTAGGGAGTAACCCCGAAGTGCAAAGTACGGAGAGGTGGAATGGAAAAGAGTTGATAAGGTACAAGGTGACAACGAGGAAATTTCCAGCAATAGACTACGCAACAATAAAACAGCTTCCAGTAGTTCAAGGAATAAGCAATCCAAAAGCTGTAGAGACAGAATGCATTCGCTTATGGTGGATTACGAACTGGGCTGAGGGTCAAAAAGCAATCGAAATGCTTCCTCAAAAACCAAGCATACCTAACAAAGTTTGGAAAGCACTAGCCTTCGGTTCATTTGTAAATCTACAGGAATTTGTATACAAAAATATAGTTGATAACGTAAAGCACATGGACGACGATACAGTACTACAAACAACAGAGAATGGGATTATAGCAGTAAGAAAGAGAACCCGAAATAACTCATTTCAAAATATATCCGAATGGATGTTAGCTTTCAAAGCATATATGGATGCAGTGCTTATATTGTATGAAAATCGTGAATCTGAACTAAATTCATACAGAGATCATATAAATGAGTTATGTATTAAGTACGATTTTCAGGCCGTGTTGGGGTATGATGAGGACCGCAGAATTGGCCTTGTGATGAACTGAGACATGACATTGATAGATCGGGATATCGAAGCAGAGGGTAAAAACTTCGATGCATCAGCTATCAAAAAATTAAGAAATAATAAACAACGTTCCAGCTGGCCAAATGTATCTTGGTATGATGGCAAAGAAGTATGTATCAATTGGAATAAAAGGTCATATACAGAGGACAAAAATTGTGGCAGAATACATGCATGCCTGATATGCAAAAGACTCGGCCACAACGAAAAAAGCTGCTATCGAAGAATTTCAAGGTTCAATCCAACTGGGCAGCAAAGGATGAGACACGGAAAAACGAGTTAAAAAAAAAAAAAAAAAAAAAAAAAAAAAAATCAAATAACAACGAAGGAAAGAATTTTGTGACATAACTTAGCTGAGGAAATGAAATAATAGTAACATGTATAAAGCATATATATAATAAATATTTGGAAATAAAAAAAAAAAAAAAAAAAAAGGAGAGAAATTAGTGGAATAATAAATTAAGCTACTAACACTAACCTTCATACCACATTAGCAGCTGTACAAAATCAAAAGCG